AGCTGGGCAAATAAAGACACACATACAAATCTGAATATAAGCATGCTTGCGTATATATACAAGCAGATTTCGATTTATGCCAGAAACCGTATCAGCAAGATCCCAGTGAAAAAAAAGACATTTTCCAACAGAATGTGTTCCTTTCTTCCAGTACAAGAATCTATTTGTCAATAATATTGAACAGTAATTTAGCTGACAATCACAGATCATCACTGGAGAAGATGCGGGTAGCCTGCGTTTTGCGAAAAATGCATCAAAGGAGAGCATACAACATGTGGGATCAGTCAAATGTATTGAAAAAAAAAAAGCCCAAGCTGGAACGCACCAGGCTTGCCGGTGCAATCATGCGTTTTTGCATCAAACTCGCAGGTCGATAATAGCAGTGATGATCGCTGCACTGTAGCCTAACACTTGGGCTCATACTGGCCGAGTTTTGGCCCCTTCCAGCATGCATGAGAAAGGGCGTTGGTTAGGATGAAGGTGGTGCATTACAGAGTCGCATGGACTCCCACGTACATGATTACCAGCTTTTTGCATGAAATTCGGCCGTTTCGGCAAATACTCGCTTTTTGAAAAAATGAATGCAAATTTTTTAAAAAAATGCAGATTTCCAGCCCACTAAAAAGTGAAAATGTTGCTCAAGCGGCCGTTTATCAAAAAATCAAACAAGCAAATGAATGCTCATTTAAATATTTGGATGAAGTAGTTCGCTGCAAAATACACTCGTTTCTAATTTTTTGGTAATGTTGAGTGTTCCTCGTGCCTACTTACAGCGAATTTCACTTCCAAGTAGAATTGAGACGCACTTGAAAGCAAAATATCCCAGTGAAGCTTCAGCCTCGCACCTTATTCGGTAAGCGAAATATCCACTTCGCTACAAATATCTTTGAAGCTTCCTAAGTCGTGGCGCAAGTAGAAATCAGTACTCATTTCAGGTATACAATTTCCCGAAGGAACGACAAATATGCTGACAAAATTCCAGCCACTGTTTTCCGGCAAGTTTTCGAGTCAGTACAGTACCAAGTTGCAAACTCTGACGTAATTGTACGCGCTCCATAAGCGTGCGCGACAGTTGAATTTGAAATTTTTAGCTCGCGCATGCACAGAGAGTATATTTGCAAATTCTCAGCTTTGTACCTTGCCTGGTTTGCGAAATCGTTTCCTGCCAAAGGAATTTGCACTTTTTTTTGGAGGGAAGGGGGGGAGGGGAGAGGAGGGCGGGGTCCGCACGCGGGGTCTAGGCGTGTGTGGGGGAAGATCTTAAAACGAGAGAGTGACACACAGGGTAGGAACATATACCCAAAATTTCAGCCTTCCAGCTTTCCTGGCTGCTGAGATGAAAGTGAGTGACAAAATGCGCTCGCTTCGGCACACACGCGCGCGCATAGACACACTTGCACAAACACACACACACAGACGACCTTTCGACAATACGCGTTTTTGTTGACTGTAGCAGCGCTATAGCGCCGCACAGCAAAAAATCATAAAAAACGAACTCGTTGTAGAGTAGCGCGAGGTCATCTCGTCCCGTTTGAATAGGTTTACCAAGCGGAACTGTAACACCATCTTCCGTTATAAAGTTCTCCTTTGGGTCTGGAACCGTCTGTCCAATGCCTGAAATGGATCGATGATTAAAGAAAAAATCACCAAAAATTAGCGACTTTTTGAGCACCGCTTCTTGAAGCCAACATTCAGTGCGCTTTTGCAGTAAGCAGTTCCCAAAGCGGTAGTATCTTAGCTTTTCTAGACCAACTGTCTTTTGAATAAGTCCAGAATTCTTTGCAGAACGTGATTAGATGAATTTTTTTTTTTTCAATTTGATGACCTTTAACGCTGTGTTTTCCATTTTTTGGCTTCCTGATTGATTTCGCCTGGATCTCTTCCTGAATTTCACCCAGTGCCACCTCACACAATAAAATGAATCCTTCTTTGTTAAGAGCATAGCAGTAGTTCGCCGACTTTGTGACCATATCAGCGAAATATATTCCTTTGCCAAACATGTACCCTGTCTGTAATTGCAAATTACAGTATTATTAAGACTATCAAAACAGAAAATGTCGGGCTCTGGTAATGCAGAAGTGACGAGCGCACCTACACCAGGCTCTTTAGTCCCGATGTTATATTAGTCAGACACTGAACAATGTTGCAGTTTTAATTTTGTTGGCACAGAATTTACGAAAAGTATACTTAACAAAAACCCCAAAATACTTTAGAGCGACAAATTTTAAACAAATAAATCCAAATCAATGATAAATAAGCAGATAAGAACATGCCACTGGCGCTTCCGGTGGTGCAATTCGCAATCCCTGCGACAGAATGCCCGCATAATTCGTTATCCGTGAACCATGCCACAGCAAGTATCGGTTTAAGATATCTTTTCGAAATCGTTCATTTTCACCTTCACGTTTTACTCGAATAATCTAGAAATTAATTTTTGCATCCAAAAATGGAACAGCATCGTTATCGAAATT